TTTGTATTACTCTAACAGAAAAAATTATATTTAATTATTTTTATGTCACTAAAAAAATTAAAAAAAAAAAAAAAAAGTTGGGGATGGATGGGTTAATAATTTACATTATATGAAGCCTGTTAAATTAAAGCAAAAACAAAAATAGTATCAGGGCCTATTTGAAAATGGCAGGTGAGCTAAAAACGCCTAATTATTTAGGGTAGGAGGAAATTTAAGCTCTGTCGAATAGTTTTACACACATATCTAGAGTCATCAAAGTGGTGTTAGAGTTTTTTAAAAAAATCACAAGCCCTGTAGTATATATAACATTATTTTTAACGAATGTGCAAAATGATGAATAAAACAAGATCCAACGCCTAGTTCCCAGAGGAAGGTGCAGATTAATATGTTATTCTGATGCACAAGTCTGATAATATAAATCATCATTAACATTGGATAAAAGTTTTACTTTACAAGCAATCTTTTCAACTACACTGATGTTATCTGATCGTGTTATGACATTAGGGTGGTCGACATTGAATATGAATAATGTTACCCATTGAATGTGATAACAGGGGCCGACATTGTTCTGTAAACCAGCATATTGAAAATAAGGATAGATTTTGTTAGTGTGTTTTTTTATACAAGGTAACTTTTTTTCCTAAAAGAAAAAATAATGGATGTGTTTGATAAAATCAATAGTACAAAATGTACAACAACAAAAAACTCAATGGATTTTGCTATAAAATTGCATAGATTATAATTAAATAATGTATGAAGGAGTTGAAGAACAAGAAATGCATTTTTTGAGGGATTTTAATTACAATTAAGTTTTAATTATACAGTATAATGTTGTTAGTATACATATTCATAAACTTGTATGTAAGTGTGTGCTTATTTTTTTACACAGGTATTCATCCCACCACAATATCGGAATCATTCCAGCATGCTGCCATCAAAGCTGTTGAGATCCTCAACCACATGTCAATTCCTCTAGACCTCGGTAACCGAGAAGCCCTTCTTCAGAGTGCAACCACCTCGCTTAGCTCTAAGGTAGTGTATTAATGTTTATTGTAATGAGAAAACAATAGAGAGCTTTTCATTCTTTATCTGTGATGGGTGTCGCATGTGTTCTATGTTCTGTAAATGTATTTAGATTTTTGATGACGCTTACGCGGAGATGCCGGATACAAAGGCCAACGCACCAGTGTTTAATACAATACTTGTTGTGATCTAATCGTAGGTTAGGCTGACAACTGTTCCAGATTTCAGGAGAGAATGTAACGCACAACATTCAGACATGCGCAGTTAAAAAATTAAAATGACATCATTACATTCTACATTCTAAGTCATTGCAAATCAAAAGCTTCCTAATACAGCTATACAGCACACACAAATTATTGATATGTTTGGTGAACAAATTATCATGTGATGTACTTGTGAAATCTCTAAAAGTGCCATCAAATTGATGATAGAAATATATATCATAAATAAATAATAACTTGCTTAAAGTGGTGCAATATGATGAATAAAACAAGATCCAACGCCTAGTTCCCACCGAGAATATGCAGATTATAATGTTAATTCTGATGCACAAAGCAAGTTCAGATCTATTTTTTTTCTATTTTCCCTACCTGTTTAGTTTGAAATCAGTAAAACAGGAATTATGTTATCTTTACAGATTAAATAATATATTCATCTTGATCTATAAATGTGAATCAATGACAAACAGCCATCTGGAATAGAAAGAAATGTGGTGGGGGTTAAATCAAAATCTTGTCACAGTCAATGATAAATGTGTCATTCATTTTCCAATGGATATGTACATAGAAGACGATTAGCAACTAACTACCTATTGATGTTAAGTGCAGTAGCCCAGTAATGAGATATTGTTTGAGTCAACAGTCATTATCTCTATAAAAGTATTTTTATTTATGCATTATATTGAAATATACTATATATATATAGTAATATATACTTATATCGGATATCTACAATTTTTACTCAAGAAATAAGCAAATGACATAAATGGCCGGCCACAAGAAAAGAAGTTTTTTTGTCCAACCTGGCAACTGTCACTTGGGGACTTTTTTCCGCAATTTGCCATGGCTACTTCCATTGTACAGTAAAGGATATAAATAGACTACTACTACAGTATTAGTAGATCTCTGTAATGCTGCATACGAATATGACTGCATACTGTGACTAGGTAAAAGGTTTAATGCCCCCACGGCTGCCGACAACCATAACAGCTCCCACCGACAATTTATTCTGAATACTTGATCAATTTACATTGTTCTTCCTTAATGTCTAGTTAACAGTTAAAAGCATTTTTAGAATATGAAATAATAATTAAAGAAATTATTTGAAAAAAAAAAAAAAAAAAAAAACAGTGAAAATTGGTAAACACAAGAGGCAAAAAGAAACAGTTTTAAATGAAATTAATTTTTGAAGGAATGCAAAGTTAAAGAATTTAATGAATTGTGTCTGGGGGAAGATTGTTCCAAAGATTTACTGACTATTTGAATGTTTTTTGTCTTTTCTCAAATTTGTTGCCATTGTCAGTGGGCTATTGCATTATTGATGCTCTCGTTTTCCTACCCTTTGGTTGTTGTTAAATAGTTATTTTTTGCCTTTACATTCTGATTGCATGCTCTTAAAGAGCAAGAACATTGTTCCATTCATTTATTTTTCACACAGTTCCATGTTTATGAATTTGTAATATCTTACTTCAAAAACATGGTTTAATGCTGAACAATCTGTGGATAGTATGTGAGGATGTTGAATGTTTTTCAGAACCTGGTTGAGTTAACCATTCAGAAAGTGAGTAGGTAAAGTAAGTATCATGTGACTGTTAATAAAATAACTAGGTCTAGGGAAGCAAAATGGATGACAAAAATATTTAAAGTTTGTTGAAAATTGTTTGTCATTTGCAGTTCTCAAGAACAGAAACAGCTTTATAATTTAAAAAATTTTACTTGTGTGTAGGTAGTATCACAGTATTCTAATCTATTGGCACCTATCTCAGTGGATGCTGTATTACGCGTCATTGATCCAACTACTGCAACCAATGTTGACCTGAACGACGTGAAAATAATTCAAAAGCTAGGGTAAGTGTGATAAGATATATTTTTGGTCAGTATTAAAACAATGTAAACATACAAGCATGTTAATCTGAGTAGTTACGTGTACTTTGAGTAATACCATTGTCATAGCGCCAATGATACAAGATACAAGATTCTTTTATTGTCACTGGTACATAAAATACAAGTAAAATTTGTCTTCCCGATGCAAAGAAATTTGTATAAAAGTTAGACATATAATAATAAATTAATCAAGGACATAAAAAAACTGAAGCATTGCATTGCATTCTGCATTGGCGCTTTACAATTCCTGTAACGGAGTGCGGCACAGATTGGTGATTTTGCTTGCCTTCAAATTCTGTGGGTCTAGGTTAAAGTCAAGTGAAAGAATCTTTGCTTATGACCAAAACAGCTCCACTTTGAAAACCTAATGTCGACACTGGTTCTACTTAGTAGACCGTCATGTGCGTAATTATGTATGTGTTGCAGAAGAAATTATGTGTTGCAAAAGGGATTTTATTATTACATAAAATTTCTAAACCAATGTATTATCTTTTCTTAGAGGAACAATAGAGGACACTGAATTGGTAGATGGTCTTGTGTTTACTCAGAGGCCTTCTGGTACTGGAGGACCCTCAAAAGTAGAAAAAGCAAAGATTGGTCTCATCCAGTTCTGTTTATCGCCACCAAAGACAGATGTAGGTTGGAATTTCTTAACCTATAGACAAAAGATTCCCTAAATGTTTGTCCCGACATCATTTTATGGACATTATTTTTTAGATTTTTAAATGTTTAGAAAATAAATTGTGCCTATGTAGTGTGTTTATTATCATTATCATGCATTCTTTACAGGACTGCCAATTATTATCTCTTTTCGCTTCACATTTTTCAGATGGACAATCAAGTTGTTGTGAATGACTACACCCAGATGGACCGCATTCTACGTGAAGAACGTGCTTACATTTTGGACCTTGTTAAGAAGATTAAAAAAGCTGGATGCAATGTGTTGCTGATCCAGAAGTCTATACTGAGGTTAGTTTTTTCAATGTCCTGTGAACAAATATAATTACCTAATATACCTAATACTATAGTAAATATGTATTTTGTGATTTATCTGTATGGCTAAAATTTAAAATTTGTGAAATTAATTTGTTTGCAAGGTATTTCCCAATTTTAAATATTCAATTGTTTTACAGGGATGCAGTCAATGATCTTGCCCTTCACTTTTTAGCCAAGATGAAGATTATGGTAATCAAGGACATTGAGCGATCAGATGTAGAATTTATTTGCAAGGTACATTCATTAACATTGTTTTAGCGGTCATCCAACATTTTCATAAGAGTACAATACATACTGTTTTCTGTTACCACCTCCCTGCCCCTAAAAGATGAAGCAATAAAATGCTAATTTGTGTCATTTTGAGAATATCATTTTATCTTTCTCATAAAAGAATACATATGCTTTCACTTCCAAACCCCCCGCCCCCACAAAGGCGTATCTTTTTTACTCTTTTGGAAATTATAGATGGCCCGTAAGTGATTCCGTTTTAAATTGCATCTGGAAATATTAGACAGTTTGTGCAAATGATGTATACACAATCCAACACTCAGTTCTCATTTCCGAGAAATTGCGGATGACCCAAGGAACCACTGATGCACAATGAACCAGGTACTCAATTTATTGCAGTGATGCAACATATTCTAATACCTCAACTTGCTGCCTTTTAGTATACCTTCGGGAATAAATACTTTCTGTTGTGTCTGACCTGTGTGTTCTTGAGTGGTAAGATGTGGTGGTTGATGTTAATCACATGTTAAGTATCTTTGTCTAATTTCCAGAGTATTGGATGCAAACCCATTGCCAGTGTTGATCACTTCCTACCTGAAATGCTTGCGCATTGTGAACTTGTAGAAGAAGTTGTTGCCGGAACCAGCAAGGCAGTTAAGGTACCGAGAATTTTAAATTTAAAGATGACTTTAATAATAACTAGAGCAGTCACTCCATAGCGTGTTTATCTCTGCCCTGTGCCTAAATGACGAACAATACACGGCCATGTGTGATGGGCGATTCCATTATTTTCCACCCTGTGCCTGTATAACGAACAATACGCAGACTGTATGATGAGTGATTCCATTATTTTCTTATATGCTCGAGCGTAAATAAAAAAAAAAAATTTCCATGACCTTGCTCTTTTCTCCCAAGTTTTTGCATAATCTTGCTAACAGGCAAACAGACAGATGGAGTGAATACATAACCTCCTTAGCAGAGCTGGTAATGATGAGGATGATGATAAGAATGATGTTGATGATGGTGGTGGGGAGTATTACTAAGGTAATATACATTACTAAATACCCATTTATATTTATTCTGGGTGGAGACAAATTTAGAAGTTCAAGAACTCTGGAGAAATTTGAATGCATGTGTTTTAAACCCTAACCTCATTGGTTAAGCTTTGGGAAAACAGCTATGAGCTCCATTGGCTTAAGCCAGGGGCCCTAGCCCTTAAGGAGCCCTGGATATTTATCAGCTTTTTCTTCTCATATATATGCCTAGTTGAGCCTTTTTAAAGTGCAGTCATGTAGTATAACAACAAATATTCATTAAAACATTGCATACGCTGAAGCGATCGGGGATTTCCCCATGGAGTAGTAGGGCCCTAAAGAAGCATGAGGATGATGATAAGAATGATGTTGATGATGGTGGTGGGGAGTGTTACCTAGGTAATATACATTACTAAATACCCATTTATATTTATTCTGGGTGGAGACAAATTTAGAAGTTCAAGAACTCTGGAGAAATTTGAATGCATGTGTTTTAAACCCTAACCTCATTGGTTAAGCTTTGGGAAAACAGCTATGAGCTCCATTGGCTTAAGCCAGGGGCCCTAGCCCTTAAGGAGCCCTGGATATTTATCAGCTTTTTCTTCTCATATATATGCCTAGTTGAGCCTTTTTAAAGTGCAGTCATGTAGTATAACAACAAATATTCATTAAAACATTGCATACGCTGAAGCGATCGGGGATTTCCCCATGGAGTAGTAGGGCCCTAAAGAAGCCTTAGCCAATGGCCTTGGACCTATTTATGCCACTGTGGTTGAGAGATCATTTTTGAGATCGCTGCACCTAATCACTACCACTATTTTTGTATCAATGGTAGGTAGTAGCGTATTGCTTCTGTTTGTCCAACAATATGACTTTGTATTGTTTTATTAATTCCGTACTGCTATGAAGTTTGATAATGCTGTTTCTTTGATTACAGGTTACCGGAGCTGCAACCCCTGGTAAGACGGTAACAGTTTTAGTGAGAGGCTCTAATAAGCTGGTAATAGAGGAAGCTGAGAGGTCGATACATGATGCATTGTGTGTCATCCGTTGCCTCGTCAAAAACAGGGCACTCATTGCCGGTGGCGGAGCACCTGAAATTGAGGTTGCCTACCGTTTGATGGAATACTCAAGAACCTTATCTGGTATGGAAGCTTACTGTGTAAGAGCATTTGCAGAGGCCATGGAAGTGATTCCTTCAACTCTGGCAGAGAATGCAGGACTTAACCCCATCTCAGTAGTCACAGATCTCAGAAATAGACATGCCCATGGTGAAACTGCTGCTGGCATCAATGTTAGAAAGGTTGGTTTGATGTTTCTTTTAATTTATTGTACATTGTTTATTTAAAATGACTGATATATACTCTGAAGCAGAATTCTGAAATTTACCTACAAGGGAGAAAACCGAAACCACAAGCCTATTATTATTATTGCCAAATTCCAAATACAAATAATATGGCAATAAGAGATCATTTAAGTATGCCTGGCAATAGTAGGTTTTTTCTTACCTGGTTTAACCCCCTTTACAATAGTAAAAAATATATAAAAACATTACATTAAGGTAAGGAAAAGTTAATCTTAATTCATGAGAAATAATGATGAATCTCCGTCTTAAATTTAATTTTATTGAATAGAGTTAAAATTCATTTAGGTGATTTGCTCTTCGAGTAATGTTTTTTAGGCATTTTGTTAAAACCTTGACTTGAACTAATTTGGCGAATATCGAGAGAAAGTTTGTTTCCGAAGTACATATAGCACTTTCATAACCAATTCTAAATTTCAATAATGTGGCTACCCCTGTTGATGAATTACCAAACAAAGAGTGGACAGATAGGCATCGTATAAAGCTTGGTTCCCATACAATCGCTACACACTATCACAGCAACTGTGTAGCGATTTTAAAGAAACCAGGCTTAACTTGTGCAGATGATGTATTCACAATCCAACTCCGAGTTCTTCATATTAAGAAGACTATGTGGATGAACCAAGGAACCACTGATGCACAAATACACCCCACCCTATATACCCACTCACCCTCCCAGAAATGGCTCTCCTTCCTCCTCTCAGAAATCGTTTATAATAACACTATCATATCGATCTGTTTATTTTAAATGAATTTTGTTTTTTAGGGGGTCACTACAAACATTCTGTATCACCTCCCAGAATTGGCTCTCTCTCTCTCTCTCCCCCCCCC